AAGTCTTGCTATTTACAAAGTCATCAGTAGAAAAATACGGATGAATCTGTTCAGAGATTCAAAAATAGGGCGCCTCGGATTCTGACCAGTGTGCTTTCAAAAGCTGGTTGCATTATTTACAAGCTGCCTTCCTCAGGCAATAAGTATTGCAGACTTCGAGATATGTACATTAGATGTGGCCGATGTGTTCCAGGTGCTTATTAGCCCCAGCCGTTAACCTGCGGCGCGACGAGCTCCGACAGAGTTTGACGATTATCAGGATTTACAAGAGCAGGTAAATAGGCCTCGCTGCGTAGTATCCATTGTCGCCAATCTTTCAGTATTGTATACAGCACAGAACGCTTGAATCGCAATGCCTCTGACATGATCACTGAAATTGCTGCATAGCGTTGGGCCAAACTGCCGGATAGGTCATTCAGACGGGCGAAGATGCCGGAGCCGTCTGTTAAATGAAAAAGAGAGGTGTTATTTTATGTTCAACTGCTCTTACGAAATGACACTATACAAAAATCATTCACCTGCATGAGGTTCACGGACGATCCTCGTAAGGTCTCGAACAACTCGTTCATTCGAAATAAACGCATCCTTGTTTGACATCGCCTTCTCTGTTTGTTTTGAGAACGTCGGCAATGCGGGCGCTTGTTTTTGCACAACCGTCGTTATAGTGTCATCTGCTTTTCCGAAATATGTGAACTTAGGAAAAATGAACCAACCTGAGTGATTGGGAATGGGAGAGTTGGGCGGAGAGTTCTTCGGAGAAAATTCACGCCAGTTGAGGTGGTTAATGTAAGCGGGGAGAGGACCTACGGCAATTAAAGTACAAGACGCAGCACTCACCTTTATTTCGGACTACGGTGTTGGAACTCTTGGTGTGCTGTCTTTTTCGGCCCGGGACCACTAAAGTGGCGTTAGCGCCCCCGGGAACACCAGCAGTTAAGCCCATCTCGTCAACATATACTTCATCGGCAATGAAACTGGCTGTCGTCTTCTTTCGGAATGGATTGCCGAACGTATCTAGCCTTTCTGGGGATGGGTTTATTTCCCTGAGAACCGGTTCGAACTCGTGAGCCGCCTTGTAACTAAGATAATCACCCATAGTGGCAACTGGTTGTTCATGGACCGAGCTATCATGGGAATCAGTCTGCCGTCCGCCTAGTATGGCGTCTAAGTTGCGTCGCATCCTTCGCAGAGCAATCCGCAGCTTGCTTCTTTCCACATCAGCTGCGCGAGCATACGGGTGGGCAGCCGACTGAATTACACGTCGTCCTGTGCTAGGACGCAACTCACGCAGTGACCAAAGAGGAAAGGGAAGCAGAGAGGCCGGAAGCTAAAACAATATGCGAAGTAGTATATATCAAACCTTGATATTTGTGAAGGAGTGCTCTCCATTTTGTGTGGTGCGCACAAAATTGTCGTATTCTATTTTAGCAGCGTGCCGCAACTTTTGCAGTGTGTGCTTCAATTGGTAGGGGAGAACACGATCAACGGCTTCAGGCTTAATCACACTCTGGAATCCAAATCTTTCAAACGCCTTTGTAAGGGGCTGAGCGAGCATATATACGAGGAAGCAGACTTACCATAAAGTAGTAGCGGGGAATGCTACTTAGGTAGCCTACAAACCTGTGCCCCCATGCTTCACTCATTCGCATGTGGTGTACTTCGTATAACTCATCTAACAGATAGTGATTCGAAATACTGACTTACTTAAGAGATGACAAAAATTTGGATAGTCATATGGGAGTACATGCAAGTGCACTGTTTGAAGATCAGGTGATGACTTGAGATATCCGAACGGGGCACTCTGTGCATGCTTGCCATCAGCTCCAAAGCACTGCCACACCTTAGCTGGATCCCGGATGCAAAGCATTTGAGTAAAAAGCGATGGCTCAAGTTCATATCGATCGACAGGGAAATATTCAGGCACATTAGGTATTTGGACCTGCGATGTAGACACAAAAATCCTCGGGTGTGCAGGTCGCGCAGGCTGCAATTAATGTAAACACATCAGTAACAGCCTTACCAAATGAGAGGAAATCAGCTCATCATCAAGCCAAAACGTTTCCGGAATTGGCCAGTTAGAACAGACTCGACCCATCAATTTGATGTATACCAGCTGTTTGTGCGTGTTTTCGTTATGAGTGGAAGTTTCCGACTGCTCAAAATCAGCACCGGGTGTGAAGTCAATTACGACCGCAGGCTGGCATTTCGGAGCTAAGGACTCTAAACACTGTTGCAACTCCCGATTGTCTGATACGTAAAAGCCCTTTCCACCGGTAAGTTCAGAGGTTTTAACCACGGGCAATTCATTCATATCCGACTTTTGGAAAGTGGTGTCCACAGTTTCGACAAAACCGGGATACCGTAAAATAACAGAATAAAGCCGGTAATCCCAGCGAAATGAATCATTGGTCAATGGCTGTCCAAATATTGTTGTCTCAATGGAAGACATTGACACATCCTAGTCGGAGCGGATATCACAAAGAAAGAAGTGGTACCTTCAATATGGACTCGTCTAGACTAGTACTGCAACATCCATCAGTAATGCACAATATTACAGCAGGCTCAATATATGACGGGAACATACCCTGAAATGGAAAGTTAACTGTGAGGAGCCAACGAAACCCATACCATTCCGTAATTCTCCAGGCCAAGTTGAAGCCGGTTCAAGTTAAGCATACGAAACGTCCGCTGCAAACCCACGCTAAGTGGCGTCTGTCCGTCAGCCTTAATAGTATTGAGCGCAGCGTGAATACACTGAAGGTCCACATTTTGTCTCCAGCCTGCTAGCTAAAATCATTATAAATAAATGAAGCAAAAATCCCTACTTTAACGTATTGACAGTCATCGTCAAGAGTCAATATAAAATAGCGATCAACCCTGGACTTGTTTAAACGGATCTAAAGTAGTTTTCATTTAAGGCTGTAAATAGTCCAACCTTGAAAAATAACTCGGTTGCAGATTTCGCGACATCGAGCAACGTAGTCCCTTGAATTGTGCGCTGGTTCATAGACGCGCTATTGTCGATCAGAAAAACAATTATCGTCATCGCAACCCCTCAAGGTCATCAGCGCAAGCCAGCCAATCGTGACGCAGTAAGGCCGCGCAACGTTGGACAAGCGAACAATCTAATGCCGCGCGCCTGCCCTGCCGGCGCTTTTATTACGTGTGGAAGGTCGTACTGCCTTCTGATTGGCTGATTCTTGTTGGAGGCTCATACAGAGCAGTCGTAATGTTACATCGATTTTCTTCTTCTTATACACGTTTCTGCATGAGTTTTCAATAGCATTCCAACCCTACTTTTATTATCTACCAAAATTTTCCAACTAATGTGCATTGATCGAGTTTTTCACGAGATGCTTGGTGAACAACTTTTCTCTCTATATGAGCCTCCGAGCGCATCGATCTTTGGCATTAACCCCCCTTTGCGCCATCGTCTGAGGCGGGGACGTGCGACCGGAGCGGTGGGCTCTGCGACTGCAGTTGGTCCAAAGTGCTGGCTTAATTGTGCCGTTGCCGGGCTGCTCGGGCATCTGTGCTCGCCGCGTACGCAAGCAATGGCATACGGAATCACTGCAACCATTGCCACCAGTTTCCAACTGCCGCCAACTCGTCCAGAGCACGGTAATAGAATAAATTACATGGGTATTCAGATCCCGGTTTTATGTAGATCAAGTGACCGGCCGATATAGCTTCAGGGATTACAAACCATGGGACCCTGTGTTCATTTTGCACTAAAATGTAGCACCCAACGATACCTTGACATTTGTGTCAAGCGACAGTAGGAAGATAGTCTCCGTATTTTATCTACAGAAGTCAAGACAGGGTCGGTGTGACATTTTCGTTGACGTTCGAAGTGGAGAGGCTGTGTCTTCGTTTGCTGAGGTGTTATTTGGCAGCCAACTAGCCACTGTTTTTCCCCCAATCGTTTCTGGTATACCTAAACCTAAGCGAAAAGTTGGTACGACAAGACGGTTGCTTGACTTTCATACTGTACTAGTTTTTTTGACAGGAATCGCATAGTTCCCCCGGGTTATCAACCGGTTTGGTTGGTACGGTCGACCGTATTTGAATCATAAGGGTTTCTGACCGTTTTTCACCAGGAACGAACCAAACAGGACATAAGCCAATTGACTTATCAAGGACTACACAACAGCGGATGCATAAAGAGCGATCTCTATCCTATACATCCAGCAGCTCGACTTCCACAGCTTCGGTGCGGACACGACCATGAAAGCACAAATGGTTATATAGAGTAATCTCTACAAAAGTGCAGGAGTTTTCTCGACTACTGTGAAAAGTTCACACTGAATCAACTATCACTCACTGGACTATTTCTGCTGAACTATGCTGTATGTGTACGGTCATAGGAAGCAGGCGAACTATAGCACAACAAATGAATACTTGAGAAGACATAATAATTCTGGCCTGGAACTCTACAGACGTTCCGAACAGCCTGGTGATAGTGTGGTGTATATATATATAACTTGATGAACCTTATG